TTTTATATTAAAAATGTTCACATTTAAAAAAAAAATCGATTTGATCTGTTGAGAAACATAAAGAAAAATAAACATCAGTAACAGAAGCATTTGTTTGGAGTTTCAGCAAGCAACACATTGTGCACAGCTGTCTGGAGAAGAAGAAAAATCCAGCTAAATTAAAAGGAAGACACTGGTCTCTTTAATCATAGCAGTGATTATGCAATGCTGAGTTATGTACCACTACTTGACATTACACATCTGGGAGCCCTAGAAAGGATTTCTCATCCATTTGCAGCTCTCCTCCCACTTCATGTAGGGCTGTCAGATCAGGCCACAATCCCACATCCCAGTGTGAACATTCAAACAGCAGGGTAGGAACGGGCAGATTTTGATTTCCAACTGGTTTGGCTTTACTTTGAAAGAAAAACACGGAGCACTGGAACATTCACTGAAAGATGATGGGATATACATATATTTAAAGGAGGATCTAAAGGCTGAACTCAGAGGTCTTTTCCAACCTAAATGATTCAGTGATTCTCTGTGTGTGTATTCTAATGTTAGTTTTGCCACCTGAGTCAGACTGCAGATCTGTACCACCCAGGCAGGAGTTAAGCCAACACACCAGGGTTAAAACCTCTTCTCTCCTAAAATAAGCCAACAGATATTAAAGGAGCACTGCAACACAGGCACTCAGGTTCAGATCTTAAGCTCAGACCTCAGAAGAAATGAAATTGTGGGATTTCAAACGTGAAGTTTTACAGGGATTTGGGATCCCAAGGTCCATTCTATAACAGGCACCTCGAGGCCCCTGGTTTGTCTCAGAAGTTTCTCCTTTAGCTGCAGCTCCCAAATGCTGCAGCTGCTGCTTTGCTTCCCCCACCAGAGCTGGCCAAGCCACACCACTGCTGGAGCACGTTCCCTTGCTCCAGGGAAAGAGCCACCACCTCTCCTTGCCCACAGGGCTTTCCACGGGACTCAGTCGCTCTGTCAAGAAATGCAAAGCAGCATCTGAGAACAGAAATATAAAAAACCTGATGTCCATTATTGAGGCTGGAAAATGAGGCCTTCTGCCCCAAGCACACCTCCAAGGCTGTGGACATAGCCAGGACTTTGATATTCCCTTCCCAGCTGACACTGTGCTTGTGTCTACCACACTGAGCATCCATGAAACCCGTAATGCACACTGGTAACTGCATTTCTGGCTGGATTTGTAACCAGAAGTTCACTCAGCTTCCCAGGATTCTTCTCAATCAGACCACAAGATTAGCTGCTGAAGAACCATGAACTAGGCTGGACCATCAGAACCTAATTCTATAGTTATCTGCAGGAGGTCTGACACACAACAGAATCAACTGAGATGACATATTATAGATGTCAAAATTAAGTAATTGCTGTTTTTCTGTAAGAGAAACTACAGCTGCACAGAATATTTGAAATAAGAGTGTGTAAGCAGGGATGCAGAAAGGTAAGGATTCTATTTTTGGTGCAGACATTGAGATGCCTCAATCATCCTGTGTGAAGACTGAGAAGTAACTTCATCTGTTTGCCCTAGTTACTCACCTATAAATCAATTAAAATTATACTTTTCCTTACAGGACTTTCTGAGGACAAATCTATTAGTATTTGCAAGGTATTCATGTATGTTCCTACATTACAGCAATTAATACCACAGAAAAACCTATAAATAAAATAGTCTCTGAATACATTATAATAGATTTTTTTTCTCTATGCTGCTTTGTATCTTTTTAGATACTTTCTAAGAACAGTTTGCAACCACCTTGAGCACACTTACTAATGAGAGAAACATAAAAATCAGAGGACTTCATGGAACCTGTCCTTATCCTTAAGTAAAAAGAAGAGTTAAGATGAGTGCAGCCTGGAAGCAAGAAGTGCTCATGCAAAAAGAAGTAAAGCTTATTCCCTATTAAAAAAGCAACTACCATGAATCAGAGCAAAGGAGAAAATAATATAAAACAACTTACAATTTAGGAAGAACTCCCTCACACAGCAGTCTGCCTCCAGGAGAAAAGGAGACAAGAGAAGAATTTGGAGGAGCTGCTACCTGGTTTTCTCAAATAAGAACCAACAACCATCAGCTTTTGTTTCTACATATTTTTCTTGCACACTCTTCATTCCCCATTTTTTTCCCATTTTGATCAGAGACAGGTGAATTTCAGAAGGCTTGGAACAGCTGGAGTATCACCTGAGCCCCTTGGTAAGTAAATTCGTGGAAGCAAAGCTCTCTGCTCTCTGATCTGAACAGTCCTGGCACTCTCTTCCACCTTCTATTTGCAGATGCTGAATAAATTTGGGAGACTCAGTCAGGAATATCAGCAAGAACTGCTTTCAGCAAGGTTTCTAGCAAGCTAAACCCCAAGGTTTAGAAATCCATGATAAAATTCAGAACTCCCTTCTTTGGTGATGCTTCAGACCAACCCAGTACATAACATCTCCCAGGAAGTTTATTTTTTTATATAGTAGGAGAAACATTAATGTGAGATAATGAGAGACTTTCAGGAGAAAGGAAGAATAATTCAATGCTCTTTCTGAATTTCCCAGGTGGAGTAACAAACAATTGCACTGCCTCATTCACTTCTGCAGAGAAACAAAACCAAACCAGTAAAAATCGAATTCTTGATGACCATTTAATCTTCTTTTTCATCTTCCCTTCCCTGGAAGAAAACCAGTCCTTTTCTTTTATCTTATCCATTGATATTCCAGTACAGATTTTACCAGATACCTGAGAACAGACTCCAAATTACTACATAGATGGGCAAAGTGTTTGGCAATAACAGGAAGAAGGATCAGTTATGCCATAATTCTTCCTGAAGGCAAGAGAGAAAATGAAAAGTGACAGCATGACCCAACATATGAAAGACACAAAGGAAGAAAAACCAATTTAGCTCATGGAGAGAAAAATTATCAAGTAAGAAAGAATATCTGGACCAGTGAACTAATTGCTTATGAAAAAAAACCAGATTGGTATTTCATATAAGAAGAGGGAAAACATTTCTTGACTGGTTTCAAACCTATTGCATGAGACCAAATCTCAATCTGGCATCCACTGAGCAGATCTTAAAGCAATTTTTGAGAAAGAACTACTTCTATTTCAAGTGATTGCAGTGCTAAAATAAATGATTTTTAGCTAGACAAGGATCTCATCCTATTTGAATACCCTGTGGGGACATTTCATGCTATATTTGAGAAGTTCCTCAGTAAAAACACCAAATAAGCCAGGTTCCTGTGAGGACAGTTTGGGGAATTTTCCAGTACAAATTTTAGCCATGAATTCTTAACCAAATTATCTCTTCCCAACAAATAAATGAAGGAAGGAAGGAAGGATGGAAGGAGAAAGGACATTGCTACTAATCCTCTGCAGCATTCTTTGTCTCCTTAAAAGCCATAAAAAATAAGGGGTTTGTCAAAAAGCAGGAACAGGTGGAAAAAAGTGGGTTCCTCAACACCTAATGCCTAATTTCATCATGGTGAAAGAGAACATTTCTGGAAGAAGCAAATCAATTTCCAAAATTTTACAGAAATCCTAATTTAAATTTGTATATTTTGGTTTTGATTTGAGATCTCACTGCAACCTCCTAAATCCAGCCAACTGCATTTTTATTTCTGGTTTCAAAAAAAAAAACAACCAACCAAAACCCAAGTAGTTGAGTAGAACTTAATGAAAATATAATTATAAATTTGACTTCTTTGTAGATTTAACCTCTGTGTTTCATGGCCAGAGAGCAACAACACAGACAGCAGGTCCAAAAAAACCCCACAGATCTCCTGAATGGCTCATCCTTTACCAGGTCACTCCTTTTGCTGATCATTGTTCAAAAGGTTTTTTCCCTACTACAATGGAAGTAATTTGGAATCAGAATAAATAAGAGGGTTTTTTTATTTTTAAAATTAATGTGTGGCTGCTCTTTGTATAAGAAATACCTCTGGCACAATTAATCATCTGACCACCTCAGACTGAGGCAAATAAATCTATTTAGTTCATTCTATAACACATGAAATTTGAAAGTTTGAGCCAAAAGCCTGTTAATGGTCAGGATATATAATTCATATGAACAAATACTACTCAGTTTAAAAAGGAACACAGTAGGAAATACATCTACTGAAAGGGTAACCAAATCCTTATTCTGACATTCCAGTTGCTCCACAGCTTCAGTTCGTGCAGGCTGGGGATACTGGACTTCAGTATTTCTGGTTCACTGCCTCATTTCGTGACTTTTGTTGCAAATATCTCAGTTTTTACCAAGGTAAAGCTGCTGCCTGACACAGAAAAATATCCCTTTTGCACACTGTTTTATAAACATCACCTTGAAATTAATTTAGGACTGCACCAAAATACTGGTCATTGCATTTATATTGGGAATATTGAGACAGAAAGTCTCTAAGCACTGGAATTTAACTAAAAATGACCACCAAGTAAGCAGGTACAGGAAACTGGCCATAGCAATAAGGGTTCATTTCCAGGTAATTGGTGTGAAGAAATTTTATGACAAAACATATACTTATTTAGGTTATAGGATAAACTCAACCTGTTTTAAAACAGAGCAATGGACATGAATAAAAATTACAGATCCTAAAATCTTCACATATTCTTTAATTTATGTTTATACACCATATCCTAGAAGAGAAAAAAGGGGAGGGGAAGTTCTACAGATATGACTGGAATTACAAAACTGGAAGAAACAGCGCAAATATATTTCAGTATATTTAATATATTTACCAGATTACTTTTCTTATAAAAAGAAGGCCAAACATCCAGCACGGGCTTTGGTGGTCAGGGTTTTCCTCAGCAATGGGATATTAAAGACTTGTTTTGATGTGCTGGGATTAAGAGTGACAGCTTTAAGGGCTTGGTCTGAACCAAATTGGGGTCAAGAGAAACTTAAACTCAGTGTGATCTGGATCAAGTCTTTCCCTGAAAACTCACCAGATGACAAAATGCAGCAAACAGGTGAGGCCAGAGCCGTAAAATGGGATTTTTCTGGCCAGAATTCAGTACTCACCAAGGCAGTTGTGGCCATCATGGGCCAACATGAACCCATCATAGCACGTGCACCTGTAGTTGCCTGGGATGTTGATGCACTCGTGGACACAACCCCCATTGTAGAAGTCATTCTCACACTCATCAATGTCTGAAACACAAGGGGAGGGAAAAAACAGCTTTTTAAAAAAAAGAGTGCTAAGAATACAGGAAAATTTCCCCATTTTTTTTTTTTGAATATGTGAACATTCCTAATCTGCATCCAACATATGGTCAGGGAATCTGAATGTATACAACTGAAAGATATATACTGAATATATATATTATATTATATATATATATATATTATATAATTGAATATACACAACTGAAAAGCAGCAAGCCAATGTATGGAACACTCCTTCCCAAAATAACTGGAGTATCATCACAGTAAACAATGATATGCTGTCAAAAATTAAAAACAAACACCTGATTTTGGTACACTTGAGGTAGTTAAAAGGTAAGGGGTATTTTTTGACTTTAAAGTAAGCGGACAATGAGTTCAAACATTGGTTTTGTTGTAACAAACAACCATCTGAAACATGCTGTTAATATGGCATGAGAAAAAGGTGTGCCTTTTATAACAAAAGATTGTCTTCCCAAAATAAAAATTAAGCCCAATTATAATTTTCTGTATTAATCCACATACAGGAAGAACCACAAAAAATCCAGTGTTTTAGAAGACATAATAGAATTTTTTTATTTTTTTTTTTTTGTAATCTGGCCTGTATCTGAAAGAGTATCAAGAATGATGAGAGATGCATTCTGCTTTAACTACAAATCCTGTTATCAAACCCCAAAACCACTTCTTCACTCATTCTAGAAAATGCAACACTTTCTTCTTTTTACAGACTGTATTCTGGCTTACACCTGGAACATCAGCATCACAGTCACTGTTGTGAATCATTCAGTGGTGCACATCAACCAACTAAAAATACATAAATAATTAAAGATGACCTCACGGCTTGATGACTATCAGGCCTAAATCTGCAGTGTGTTACACCAAAAACCCCAGCTACTCTCCCTAATTTAGGCAGTGAATGATAAACAGATAAAATGATCTTTTTAGCAACTCACTGGTTATCAGAACATTTCAAATGTGTCTTCCATTGCAGAGGTGCTTGACATACTTCTGAATTAGGTTTGTGGTTTTTTTCCCAAGCCTTCCCCCTCACGTTGGTCCCTCCCAGAAATCCACCTTAAACTCAGAGTAGCCCAGGTCTCCATCCACTTCCCTCCAGCAGCTCTGAGGCCCCCCTTTTACAATCTCCAAGCAGCCTGAAATTACAAATTTGGCTTTATCTGCAAAACCAATCTGCTACTTCATAACTCAGCACTGCAGAAATACTGGAAATAAGAAGCTGGAGGAAGGATCTTCCCCCAAAAATTACCTAAAGGTAAACCTCCTACTCTTTCAACCACTGTTCTGTTTCAGAAAGTTCTCATCCTTTACTAACAATTTCCATCCATCTATTAATTGTCTTTTTTTAAACAATGAATCAAATAGGACCGTTTAAATAAGCAATGGGAGAGCCTTCAGAAGGGGCAATAAAAGTAAAATCAAAGAAATGTGAAACCTTTTGAATGTCTGCCCCTTATATAATTCTTATTTCTAAAAAGCCGCACTGTGATTTGGAGCACAGGGTGATCAGGTAATATAAATACTTATAATATAAATACTCAAGTTACAGAAAAGGCAATGTAAGAGATAAATAAACCACAAAAGTAACAAAAGGAGCAGATTCTTTTCATCTCTTTCTCAGGAGTTCGAGTCACAATAAATTTTGCAAAAGGATTAGAAAACTATTTCTCCCTTTTGTACCCCAATAGCTGTACAGAACTAGAGGTGGAACCAAACATCCTAACTCTTTTTTAGAGCCATGCTGTGGGTTTTTTCATGTTTCTTCCTCCTTCAAAACCATACTGCTGTATAAGAGACTTTCACCTGGCATGCTGATGGAATTTCTATCTCCACTATTGCTAGCAAAGCAACAAGGGGGTAAGAATAGTGAATTTAATCCTTCTTAAAAAAATCAAAACAAAACAGCCCCAAAAAAACAAAACCACAAAAAAACTTCCCCACTTCCCTCTAAAAAAAGCAGATAATAAAACCTCACGAAAAACATTCACAAAGCCTTCAAAGTCCAAATGTTGAACTTTTTTTCAAGCCCCTGCTGCCAAGAGAAGAGCAAACAATGTGACCACCACCCCACCTTCTCTTCTCACATACCTGGAGGAAGGTGCATCTTTATTTTTAAAGAATGCCTCAGTGAAAGTGTGGATCAACTATAATTTATGGACAGAATATTACACCTGACGTGCCAGGATAAGGCTTCCTTAGAAAGCTTAATACAGAGTAAAAGCAGCAGGGGTACATAACACATAAAACCTGCAAGCTTGCTCTTAATTTTGCCTATTGTAAAACTCAAAATTTCCTTTTGGGGAGGTCATATCCTCTTTTTTTTTTTTTCCTGTATTGATAGAACTGGGTGTATCAATCTGGACTCCAAACACCTCTAGCTCAGAAAGCAATCTCTCCCTCTGAAATTTGTAGCTTCAACTATCCTTAATATTTTTAGCAGGTGATCACTTAATAATTGTCTTTCACCGTGAAGGCATTACCATAACAAGAGAAAAATAAAGAAATGTTGCCATCCAGCTATGAAATTGTCTCAAAGGGAAACCTAAAGTTTTACCCACACTGGCAAAACACTTCCATAGTTTTCAATCCAGTAAATTCTGGCCATTCAGACAAGGGAACTCGGGATGTTTAATGAAGAAATCACCTTAAAATTGAGAAATCACCTTAAGTTGCAAATGTATTGGAATCTCTAAGAGGAATTAATTTCTTTTGCTATTACAGTGGCAGGAGTGACAGGAGTCCTGGAGAAGAATTAGATGCACCAAAAAATTATTAAGAAGGTGTAGAGCCACTTAAAATAATGTCAATATTCTGCCGAGAACCTACCTGGGCTTAGTGTGCTCTTAGTGCTTAATTTACAATCCCTGTATATTGAAATACAGGGATTTTGGTTTGAATTTGTTTTCTTTAAGTGACACAGTTCTTTTTCAGCCTGGTGGGATGTGTATGTACCTTACCCATACTGGGGTTGGCTCTTCTTTCATTATGAGAGGTGACACTGACACTCCCCCAGAAATTGGTTTAATTTGTGGTTTTTTTGCAACAAAGAGATGGCACTCTCAGAAGTTCTCCCAAGGCCACCCTACAGAGAAGCAGCTCTTCCAGGGGCACACACAACTTGGCTAAGAAATGTTCAAAATAAAAACAAGAATCAAACTCTTCTGCTTCCAGTATCAGAGTATTTCCTCTGTTTCAGCAGAGAACAGAAGACACATCAGCACGCAATAAGTAACGTCCAAAACACAAACCAACAGCAAAACAGTGAGGGAAATGCTGATTCCCACTTTGCCTGAACATTTTCAGCAGTGCCACAAAATTTACTGTGTGCTAATCATCTCTTCCAAGCAGCAACAAGCTTCGCTTCGAAGGTGGCACAGAATTTATGCCGAGAAAGTAAAAAGTCCACCTCCAGCAAAATTCATCCCCACAGTTGCAATTCATTAAGTCCCTGCCTGTCCCAAAATCATTACAACACACGGAACAAGATTTGTCAGCACAGCCACAGATGATTGTGGGCAGAGCTACTGAAATCAAAGCAAATGTCTGCAGGAGCTGATGAATTTTGGAGGAGTGTCACAGCTCGAGTGTCACAGAAGCCTTATGGCATCGACATGCAAAATAAAGAATGGCTGAGGCCTGAAAGTCCGTGAGCCAAATCCAGCTTTTAGTGTTGAATTCCACAGATTTCCACAGAAAATGGGAAATTGTGCATTGGCACGATTTTTATCTTGGCATCTGTCAAGGCCACAGATCCCAACACCCACAATGCAAGAGAAGATGTTCAAAGGGGGGGTGGGATTGAGTAAAATCTGAGCCCATTTTAAAGTATTTCTTGACTAGTAATACAAGGGAGAGATCTGGAGCTAATTTACTAAACAAAAACTTCAACTGACTTTGAAAGGAGTAATTGATGTGCTTGGACATTTTAAAATAAATAGCCAAAGAAAGCTGTCTGCCCACATCAGTTGCTTCTAATTTAGAGAACCACAAACAAAAGTTAGCACACAGGTATATTCTGCAGATGTGGAATATCTCCTGAAGAAGCTGGATCCATTAAACAGCCAGAAAAATAAATAATAAAATCTTTCTAAGTTCATCCTGATGGATAAATTCACATATTTCTCCAGCATCCGAAGAAAAAAATATTTTGGTGTTCATCCTTATCTAGAAAATACAGTGAAAGAGGGACTATGGAGACATTAAATCAGAAATTAAGTTACATGCACACTGACAAAAATACAGACAAGTTTAAGTCCTGGATCCCAATCAGATCAGCATCTTATTCTTCTTAATGACTGGATTTGGGGACTGTAAAAGCCATTAAAATAGGTAAAAATCACATGGGGATCTTTGTATTTACTGTTTCTTTGGCAGATTCCACATTTAATATACTTCCAGCAGATATACAACACACACTGGACAACCTGAACCCCTGGCATTTGCATTTCTCACATCATAAGTTGCACTTTCCTTAAGAAGGGAACCAGTTCCAGACCTAAAGGCCAGGATTAAAGCCCATTCTGGTTATGTGCAGGCCAAATTTGCCAGCAGTTCAGCTCTCTGGGAAACACTCAACCCAAGCAAGGTGACACTCCAATGATCAGGTTCTCAAGAAGCACCAGCACATTTCCAAATGTTCACAAGTATCTGAAGTCCACTCAGCTCGACCCTTAAAATCTGAAAGAACTGACTCAGCCTGATGGATGGAGGATCAGGTGGGAAAATGATATTCCTGCTGAAACACCACCTCTCTCTGAGTTCTGTGATATCAGAATTCAGCTTTTACTCCCAGTCCACATTTTATGAAGAAAATGCTGACATATCAAGCCTCATTCAATTTTTCTACTCCAAACAAAACCTCCACCTCAGAGTAAAGCCCATTTCTGAAAATTCCCTTTCCATGAAAAGCTTCCTAAATTAAAATCTATCATTTGTTACACCAGGTTCTTCCTGAGGTACTTTTCTGACTC